CATCAGATGTGAAGAAATGTCTGCGCGAGGAGCGAGTGAAAAAGAGCCGCGCTGAGTAACAGTTCTTGTCTTTTTATGTGAGTGCTCGTAAAACGTTACGAGACCGGACCTGCGAAAAGGAAACCTGTAAAAAGTGCCAACGTTAGGAAAATAACTTCAGTGTCCTTGGTCTTGTCAGGTTCCTCCTAGTCGGGTCGTTTTGGCCACTTCTGATTTCTGATATTTTCTTTTGTGACTTTCTGGTTTTTGGACATTCTAATTTCCTTGAATTCACAACTTGTACAACAAAAGTCAGTTGTTCTTCGGAGCAAAGTTTTATTCCCACGAGTGATTTTGAAACATTTCCCCCCAAAACTACACCAAGTTCAATAACTTTCAAAATAAAGTTCTTGGTGGATCTCAGGAGCCAGGGCTGTGTTTTGGCAAGAATCTGGTGATACGATACGTATCACGATACAGTGTCAACGATACGATATGTTACTGTATATTGCGATACTATAGGCACAGCGATATATTGAGTTGTTTGTTCCCCCAGTGTAAGTGTAGTCCAAGTGTGATCCTAGTCTCAGACTCTGTGAAAGAAAAGAATTTGCTGGATTTTTTTTTGGCTCAATGTCTCAGATACTTGCAAATACATGCAGACCCTGTACAGTCGGTCTGTACACTAGTGGTCGTAGGTTGAAATGCGACATAAATGAACCGACAGCATAAATATTTGCACGTTAATTGTTAACTTAAAAAAAAAATCGATACTTTGTCTAGAATATTGATACGGTATCGTGTGTCTTTATTTCGGTTTGTCATTATTTTTCTGTCCTTCATTGTTCTGTTTCTCGATGACATTGGACTTCAGCTAAAACAACAACTGCCGCTGTGCAGCTGTGGATTTTTTTTTTTTTTTTCCAGTGTGCAAACAAACATCTGTTTACTCACGACCCCTGTGTTCAGCCTTTAAACCAATCAGAAGCTTTGGGGATCAGCAGCTGCTGCTGCTGCTGCTGCTGCTGTACAACCGGCGTTTTTGTGTTTGTTTTACGAAATCTATTAATCCTCCCGTAGTTCGGCTCGCCTGACTCCAAGAAATGAGTCACAGGTGGGAAAATTGGCCGCCGACCCACGGAGTACAGCTCAGAGTTCCTGCGAACGCCACCTTCATTCTCAGAAAGTCTTCACCAGGGCCGAACCGTTTCTGCCCGGACTTTTCTGTTTAGGTGTTTTTTTTTTTTTTTTTTTTTTTTTTTTACTTTCCAGTTCCTCCAAGCTGTGACTCTTCTAACACTGGACAAACAAAAGGGTCTCTGTGCTGCGGCTGCCTGGACTGCTCTGCACCAGCCTGTTTCTGAATGTCACAGCAGAACTGGGCTGTTCTAACCATGTGGAGAACAACGTGTTCATGGGATTGATTGATTTTTTTTTATTTCTCCATGAAAATCCATTCATCCTCGTCACTGGTTATCTGTAGAATCTCTCTCTCTGCTGACGGTGTGTCCTCACCTGTGACGCCACTATTTACCGTGCGGCGCCGTTTCCTCAACACAGCAGGACAAATACAGGCCGCCTGGTGTCATTACTAAAACGAAACAACGCAACCGTCCCGGCGGGAAAGCAGGACATTTCTGGAATAGTTTGTCTCTCCTCCCTAGAAGTCCATCCCCCGCCCCGACACCACAGAGGGGCCCAGGATAAGGGGAGAAGGATAAAGAGGGAGGAAGAAGAAGAAATGAAGAGATTTGAGAACAAAGCGGCTGAAGATTACTGTTTTTTTTTTATTAAAAAATAATTCTGTGAACTTCCCTTCTTTTCTGTGTGACCACTGTTTCCTGTCCTACGTATCTGTGTCCAGCCCTGGGGGCGCTGTAGACTGGAGACATGTTGTGTCTTCAGGATCAGACCAGTGTCTCGGTGTCTTTCCCAGCTGTCGCGGCCTTGGTTTCTGCTGCTGAGTTCGTCGTACTTTACTGCGAACATCCAATCGTTGTAGGTTTTTTTTTGTTCCCACATCTTTTTGTGCCCCCCACAAAACAGCCCACACAAACACGCCCCCCCCCCCCCCCCCATGGTCCCCTCCTCACTTTGTACTCCTCTGTTTATGTCATATGTGTCTGACCATTGCCATGGCAACAGTTGCTGTGTTGCATTGCCACCCTGGATCCAGGACTGAATGGGTCACTGTCGGTCGTCATCCCACTGACGTCTTTTCTGTTCCTCTCGTCTGGTGATAACAAGTCGCCGCGACACCCGCCACTCAGTCCAAGGCCGAAGCTTTATAGGAAAAAAAAAAAAAATCAGTTGCATAAAAGTGAAGAGAAAGGATTTTTACTGGCGACATACAAATCCATTAGGGGGCGTGAACTTTCAAGAATCTGACGATACGATACGAATCACGATACAGGAGCAGTGATGCAATATGTTTAATTATTTATTTATTTTTATTAACTCCAGTCACTTCTGACTACAAGGTTCACTTTCCTTTGTGCCTCACTCTTTTTTTTGTCATCGATTTATATATATTTATATATATATTTATATATATATTTATATATTTATATATATTTATATATATATATATTTATATATTTATATATATTTATTTATATATATATATATATATATATATTTTAAACAATTCAATTGTGGGAATTGTTTTTGGGATAAATAAATGAAAACAATAAGATCGTTTGACTCCAAGTCTCAAATACTTGCAGTGGTACATAAGAGGTTAAGGAAGTGGACTTGGGTCTGGAAGGTTTCAGGTTCGAGTCCACCAGCTGCCAAGTTACCACTGAGGTGCTCTGGCCCCCCCACCCCCTACTACTCCCCCCAGGTGCTTAAAGCTGCCCCCTACTGACTTTAGTGATGGGTTAAAAGCAGAGGTCACATTTGTTTGTGTGCAGTGGTGCAGTGGTGTGTCACAATGACAAGTAGTTCATGTTTTTCAAATTTCGTTCTTGTACCTCTACAATTAACCAGAGGTCGGAGGTTAAAATATAACACAAAAATAAACAAACGCCAAGAATGTTTTCATTGTTATTAAAAAAAATGACAGTGCTGCAGGAAATCAGTACGGTATCGTGAAATGAAGTATCGCGATATTTCAATGTATTTTTATTGTTCTTACCCCCCTGGAATCAATGCTGTTGATTATATATATATGAATCAACAGGAGAGAGAGAGAGAGAGAGAGAGAGAGAGAGAGAGACCACAGCAGTGTAGGACAATAGGAGACAGCCGGCACATCAAACAGTCGTCCCACAGAGGACACAGCAGCCTGTCTGTCCACAGCACTGACTTAATGTCCCCAAACAAAGTGCTCTGTTGAGGAGACGTCAGGGCCTGTGATGTCATCACCTGTGATGTCATCACGCGTAAAACTGATTTGAATCTTCTGTGAATCTGTATGTTACACAGATTAGACACATTTACAGACCAGTGAATTTTACTCTGGGAAAAAAAAACAAAAGACAGGAAAATGAAATAAAGCTACATGTTTGACAAGACAAAAACAGAAAAAAGAAAAGCCACACTCAGTCTTTTTTTTTCTTCTTTTTTTTACAGTGTTGTTCTGAATGAACAGACACTTGAATGACCTCCATGCACGTCCTTGTGAATAGAGGGTTCTTTCTTGACTCACTTTGTCTGGAAAATGGAAGAGGGGAAAATAAAACCCACCACCTGAACAGAAAGAGTTTTCCCCAGGTGATGTAGACAAGGGCTCCCCAACACGTGGGCTGCAGACCTGTGCTGGTCCGTGGGTCATTTTGTTCCGGTCTGAAAAAGAGTCTAAAAGAGTTTTATTTTGAAAATTTAATAATCCTTCAACAATCGATGTGGTGCTGACGTTCTATATTGACAACCGTTAGCAGCCGACCTCTCCTTGGTACGTAAAGGTTAGGGACCGCTGATGTAGACCACTCTGTTAACGACCTGTAGAGGATTGTTTCACAAAGACAGGGTCTTATCGTTACATTGGAGGTTCGTTTGGTCTGAAAATATTATTGACGACATCGTGGTGTATCGGCAATAATTTGTGGGGCAATGTATCGTCCAACAAAGTTTGGTATCGTCACGGGCCTCAGATGGACCGTCATGTCTGGTTTGGAGGTCAGAGTTGAGGTTTTTCGTTGGGAATGACGTGGATGGGAAGAGGAACGATGACGTCAGAGGAACAGTTTGAGTCGAGGAGGAGGTAAAAAATGGCGGTGTTGTCGACGTGTAGTCGTGCCTTGGCCCAGAGTCAATGTCTCTGTCATTGGTGTGGAACCCCAGGGTTCACCTCCAGGGCAAGTTTGAATCCCGGTCAGGGCAGTTGGTACCTTCCAGTGGACTCACCACCAGCAGGAAGGTTCAGGGGGGGTTGGTACGGTGCAGTGTGATGTGGGTGGAGACTGCTGCCCCTGCGACCCGGTAACGGATAAGTGGATGAAAATGGATGGATGGATGGATGGATGTCAACATGTGTGCTGAGACTGCGGGGATGAAAATGGATGGATGGATGGATGTCGACATGTTTGCTGAGACTGCGGTAGACGGCGTTGCCCGACAGGACGAGAAAACGTGGTTATAGGTTGTTCCTTAATTTGGAATTCCAACGCTGGTTTTCCTTCCACTCATTTACAGTAATTCCCTCCTTCAGTTCTGTAGTTGAAGTTGATATGAGGACAGTGTACTAAAGCCTTCACGATGAGGGGGTCTCCTCCTACTGGGGATCTCCACCTACTGCAGTGTTTAAAGTATGTGATTTGTACACCGTGCCTGGAATGAACCCTATGTTGGTCAACACAGTCTCCAGGCAGTAAAGATGTGAAGCAATGTACGATGATGGTAATATTTTCAGTTTCGGCTTGAGACCGAGTGTTATCAATGGTAATGACCCGACTCCATCTGATAGGAGGAGGTGCGGTCATCGCCAGAGCTGGTCCTCTGGAACGGTGCCTGATACACATTCTTACTGATAGTTAATCTGCTGATATGCTAACTTCCTGTCTGTCTGTTTGTTTAAGGCGGGAACCGATGGAGAGAGCATCGGGAACTGTCCCTTCTCTCAGAGACTCTTTATGATCCTGTGGCTCAAAGGAGTCGTCTTCAACGTCACCACCGTGGATCTGAAGAGGTGAGTTCTCCCTTCCTGTTTCCTTTTTTTTTTTTTTTTTAAAGCATCTTACTAATCGTCAGGGTGTTTCCCCCGAGACATCTCAGCAGCTCCGTGACACTCGTGTCCAGCTCCACCTCAGCAGCTCCACTGCTTGTTTTCTTTTCCCATGACCCTTTTCCAGGCTGGAGAAAAACCAGAGAAAAACAAACAGTCAGACTCTGGAGAGACGGTTCGAGGTTTCTCGCTCCTCTCACTTCCTGCCTTCATCTCGGCGGGCAACATGTTATTTTTCAGACTACTGGTGATCATCTGCAATTTTCCTCACATGTTGATTCCAGGACCTGAAGTCCTTAACCGAACCGGCGCACGTTGTGCCGCCGTGAGTCATCTAAATGGTACCTCGATGTTTTTCCAGACCGGCCAAGTGGCGGATTATTTTCAGCCGCAGCTGATGGTCAGATGAACGCCTGGTTTTTCTGCGTCCATTGTTTTTGTGCGGCGGTGTTTGTTCAGAGACTGATGTTCCGGTCGTGCTGCAGCTGGTTCTCCTTCTGCTCCTTTTTTCTGTGTCATGGAGATCGTCGCGTGCAAACAGAAAACAAATAATACCAGGAAAACTCTCTAACTGTTACTGTTACTGTTACACCCAGGAGCAGGACATTCAAATCACTGCATATATCTAAGAATATTTGCATGTATTTACCTGTTCAAGGACCTGGAGGATGCTTTCCCAGGGATCTGTGCTGTTTCCTCCTAGAATAATTCTTCGTTCAGCAGAAAGAAAGGATTCGCCCTTTTTTTTCTTCTTTTTTAGATGTTAACTGATTCCGATTTCACTTAAATCATCAGGCCTGTAGGGGGAGTGGTGACATCAACTCAGTATTTTACATCTTCAAATAATTTTGTAACTTAATTGGACAAATTGTGTAGTTTCCAATTTTTGCATTTGGTCAAAAAAAGTGACTCGTAGAAACTGTTTTTTTGTCGATTATGTTTTTCTTCCGTGACAGCCTATACGAAAGGAGACGTTTGTATCGGATGTAACGATGCGGTCAACTAACGTTACGATTCACGATTTCCTGTTCGTGATACGATTTTATCACTTTTCTTCAGAAAGAGTTTTAGATAAACTGTGACCAAATCCACTGATCTCCTGATCACTGGGTCAAATCCCACCATCAACTGACATGGTCTGTGAACCTCATCAACTGACATTTGTTCTCTTCAATAACAGAAGAAGAGAAAAAACAGGAAGTGGAAAGAGTTCCACTGGAGAACACTGTTGGTGTCTGTGGAACCAGTTCTTCCCACGTTCTGTTCCAACACCTGAACGTCTCTCAGCCTACGTAGGGACCTGACGTCTGGGTTTAATAGTGGGTTTTTAGGATCATACTGCCACCTACTGGACTGGAGTGTGTAGTGTCATGGTATGACCAGTGACTTTTTGAGATAACGGAGCTACTCCTTAGACCTTGATGCGCGATTCATTTTTTTTATCAATTGTAATCGGTTCCTGCTCCACCGTTACTTCTCTTGTCACAGTTTCTCTTCAGTTCAACAACTTTCAAAATAAATGTTTCCGACCAGATGAAACAGACCACAGTACTAAATGAAAATAGCTCCTGTGAACCAACCTTGTTCAGATAGAAGCTGACGATCAGTGTATTCATTTATTCAACATATTATTAACACGGTATTAATTATTGACCTGTTGTTTGTAAAGAGTTTAGCTTTGTTTTTATTTTGACATTCATTTATAATCAGGTCATAACTGATGAATCTTTATTTTGACATTCATTTATAATCAGGATAGGTCATAACTGATGAATTGTTTATGTTGAAAGGACGGTCTCAAAGCTGTGACCTTTGGCCCCTCCCTGACCTTTATGCGTTCTTCTTCATCGCGGGTCAACAAACCTAAAACCACTGGGTTTTTAGCAGCTGCAGGAGAAGAAACCGTATGAACGTCACGAGCTGTGACTGAGCTGCGTGTGTTTAGTCTGGAGTCAAGGCTTTCCTCCTGCCGTCTGTTCCTGCGCCTGGGGGCAGTTTTTAAAAAAAATGAGGCTTTCCTCCTGCCGTCTGTTCCTGCCCCTGGGGGCAGTTTTTTTTAAACATTTTTTTTACTGGTTCCTCGGTGATAGGAGTGGGTCGAACACTTCCTCTTCACATCTCGTGAAGATGAAGTCATTTCCTCTTTTCTTGCGGCTTGTCTCAAACCTCAGCCACCGCGGATACGACGACTGGACGTTGAGTGAGTGAGTCAGTCAACAGAGGGTTAAATCACACACGTCC